AGACACTGATACTCTTCAGTGCTGCCTTATCTTGACAAGACAGAGGGGAAAAGTGGGATATCTCCCCTCAGAGAGCAGCAGTTATTATCTTTGTATGCCCATTTCCCTTCTGTATCAATGCCTGTATGTATGCATATTTAGATATATGGATCTATCATAAATACCTCTGTGTGTCCATCCTGGCTTATCCTCAAGGGCTGCTGGAACACATCTTCCAGAAAATGTTCAAGCTTACAATGTGGAGGCGGGTTCATGACTGGTAGGCATCCCCATGAAAGCAGCCCACAGCCTGCCTGCAGTGCAGGCACATGAACTGAAAGCACAGTGAAAATTAACTTGTCACACTTACAGCCAGTTTCAGAGCAGTACAGACATCACGTGAAGTCGTGCCTTTACTGTGGGATGAGAAGAGCAGAATTCATCTTCTCTATAGGGAGCCTTCATTACAAAAGACCTAAAACCCATTAAAAGTACCAATACACAGCATTCACTCCCATTTGTCTAAGAAGGAAAGACAGTACAGGAGAGCTCACTGTGAACAAAATTGACTGTAAACTTCCGTACCACAAAGATAAAAATTTTGTAGCTCATTACAAAATATACACGTGCAAGATTCAGAAGAACATACAGAGAAGCTTTTTCTTGTAAGGATCAGAAAATTAACTTGGCATTCAGTTAAGGTGCATTGTTAGATCAAATTTCAAGGTAATCTTTTTTTATTATTCCATAAGAAATAGCATAGAGCACACCAGTGCCGAACTCCTTAGACAAATAAACAGGTTCAGCTCCTCTGTGTATCTACACTTTGCTAAAATGCTGAACGATGCAATGGTCTTACCTGCAGCATTAACTCAACATGACATTTCATGGGTTTGTTCCCCCTCAACCTGTGAAGGATGTGAAGGATGCAGTAAAAAATAATAAGAATTTCACAATAAGAAATAACTCCCCACTGCCTGCACCCACGCCAGACTCGCATGTAGCAGTTTGGCTGCTGGGGAAGCACTGCGTGCTGTCAGTGCTGCAGTGGTCTGAGCATCTCTGAAAACTTCTGCACAGTGAGGTGGAGGACAATCAGTTTTCCTTTTCCCAGGCAAAAATGGTGGTAGCCCAGGAACAAGTTAAACTTTCCTGGCTCCAGCCTGGGGAGAGTACTGCAGCCTTTCTTCCGTGTGGTGACCGGGGCCAGATCCAGCCTGGAAGTGCATATTGAGTGTAGGCATCAATCAAACTGTTATTTCGGCAACAGGAGAAGAGGCAGGGCTCAAGACCCAGTGACAGGGGGTTTTTAGCAGTAGTTCTGTGTGATGGGATCTCGGCATGTGCTTTGCATGGCTGATGCAGATTTTTAAGGGCAAATGAAACCCCTGTTGAGCAGGCCAGCAGTTTTGCAGCAGGAGCAGAGGTCCTGACCAGCACTGTTACACAGTCCTGGATCTGTGACAGCTGGATGAGAAAAAGCCCATTCCTGGAGAGGCAATGGGAGCTTGTTTTGATCTTTCAGGGACATGCAGGAGGAGCATGCATCACTGAGAATCAGGTTGCCACTGCTATTCAAAATTTGCTAGCCACGTCTGCAGCTGAAATGCACAACTGGAAACCTGTAGCAGTGGTACTGAACAAGACACAAGCTCCCAAGGAGAAGCTTTGCTGAGGGATTTTCATTTCTATTTATCCATAAGCAGGAAAGACAATATATTTCCCAAAACTATTAGCAGGTTTTTTGTGAGGAGGTAGCCCAACCATAGAGATAAACACATAATTATTACCTGCTTCCTCAGCTACATCATATGAAAATATGAGGAGAGATTTGCCATTGTACAGGCTGTGATTGAGGTTGAAGACATCTAAGTGGGACGTGTACAACAGCGGTGTGCACATGGAGATTCAGTGTATTTAAATATGTCTGTGAATTGCTGTTGTGTATAATGGTCCTGAGATACCAGTCTGTGATGTCCTCATGCCAGAGAGTCACAAGAATACTGTCAGCCTAATGAGTTACTGGTAAGATGATTTCCTTCTTATCATAATTGAGCAGGGTAAATATAGTACAGGAAACTACATGTGAATGTGAGTTTCAAATAGCCAGATCAGAATAAATAAACAGGTGACTTTGGTAAAGGAAAAGGTGGCTTACAGGAAATATGACCGAAGGAATTGTGAGAAGGCATTGCAGAGTGGGAAGCACTCGACTGACTTACACCACTTGGTTTATCGTATCAGCCACAGATTAGCTGGCACCCACTTGCGCTCTTACCTGCACATGAAGTGGTGCCACACTTCTTCGGTGCTGTGTAGGTGACTGTAGCCGAGGGCTGAGAGAACAGGACTATTTCAATTTTGGCAAGGTTTTGCTCTGAAATGAAGACTACCCCAAATCATTCCTTACCTGAATGCCTTCCTTAGGAAGGGCAGCAGCTGGTCTTGCTGTGTTTTCACTTTTGCTATGACATAAGAGTGACCCACCTTAGAAAAATCCTGTCTAATGAAAATACTGTTTTATGAGATTTGTTCTTCATGTTGGTATTCTGATAGATCCTGAAACCAAAAGTGAGAATGGCTTTGCAGATCCTTTGAGAACAAAGAAGTAGTAATGGTGCTGGGAGCTTGAAATAATTGTACTTGATCAGAATGTGTGGCAGCTTTGTACCAGCTGCTGTTTCCTTATAAATACTCCGATTTGTTGTAAATTAATATCTGCCACATTTGGATAAACACAGGGCAGAAAAATACAGTGCTGGTTGAGCAGACATGAAACACCACATGAGATACTGTAAAGCTTCTGTGAAATATAATGTGAGATTGTGTGTCGTGGTGCAGCTCACACACGTACAGCCCAGGACAAGGTGAGACAGGAGACCCAGTACTTTCAGGACTCCTGGACAGTCAGAAATCAAAACTCTGTCCTCTAAGTGGAAGATACGAGGCTCCAGCACCCTGTTGAAAGTGTCTGTGAAGAATTTCCCCCTCCAGAGGTGCAGCGAGGGTCTAGAGTAGGAAGAGCTGGAGCCTTCCTCATCCCATCAAATGTGACTCCCTCTTTGTCATGGTTTAACCTCAGCCAGCAACTAAGCACCACGCAGCTGCTCACTCACTCCCCCACACAGTGAGGTGGGGGAGAGAATTGGGAAAAAACAAGTAAAACTCGTGGGTTGAGATAAGAACAGTTTAGCAAAACAGAAAGGAAGAAACTAATAATGATAATAATAACAATAATAAAATGACAATAATAATAAAAAGGATTGGAATATACAAAACAAGTGATGGATGATGCAATTGCTCACCACTTGCTGGCTGATGCCCAGTTAGTTCCCAAGCAGCAATCCCCCCCAGGCCAACTCCCCCCAGTTTATATACTGGGCAGGGGGTCACATGGTATGGAATACCCCTCTGGCCAGTCTGGGTCAGCTGCCCTGGCTGTGTCCCCTCCCAACTTGTTGTGCCCCTCCAGCCTTCTTGCTGGCTGGGCATCAGAAGCTGAAAAATCCTTGACTCCAACTAAACATTACTTAGCAACAACTGAAAATATCAATGCGTTATCAGCATTCTTCTCATACTGAACCCAAAACATAGCACTATACCAGCTACTAGAAAGAAAATTAACCCTATCCCAGCTGAAACTAGGACACTCTTTCAGGATTGCATAAATGACTTACAGCATCTAGGCCCAAGCAGTATATTAGAAAGTTTTATTGTGTTGACTACTGAAGTCCTACAGCTCCCCCAGACTGCAGTATCGAAATAGAGTCCACAGTAGGTAGGAGGAAACCCTCTTATAGGCCATGCAGAAAATTCTCATAATCACTTGTTGTTACCCATACATAACCCACCTCACTGAATATCACCCAACAATACCTGCAATAAACTCTTTATTGCAATAAAGATTTGAGCCTGAGCCTATTTTTTAATGGTTCCCTGTTCTGATTTGCACACTGTCCAGTGGAGATTTTACAGCAAACCTAGGCAAGGTCTGGTTAATTACTCCATTGTTGAAAATATTCAGAAACATGATTAGTAATGTTCTAAATAAGGTAGCTTGAATAGACAAGTCAAGTTCTGATTATGGAGTTTGCTATGCCCTGTCAAAAACTAGTGGGTATACTCTCCAAGAGAAAATCCATAGGTTATTCTAAACATTATTTTTTGCAGTGGAGGTAGCAATATTTAGGCCTAAAATCTGTTGGTAGCAAGCATCTCTGAATTTCAGATGTCTAAGTATACCTGGAGAACTGAGTATAGGTGTTCCTGCATAGCTCTGAGCACTGACCCTTTTGAAAATCAGTCAATAAAAATTGCTAGAAGAGAGAAGAGAATAACATTAAAGGAATGAGAGTACAATTGAACCTGCAGACAAAGGAGGAAACTTCTTGTATGCCTATGTCCGTTTTTTACATTATGCAATCTTTATTTCTTTCATTTTATATACTAAATTCATTGATTATATCACATTGCAAGCTAGAAATTTATCCTTTTTCAAAGGACTGTTAAAAATATCAAGGCAGTTGAATAATGTGTTAAAGACAGAAGGAGACAAAAATCCAATGAAAGATGAAAATGCATGATGAAGAAAGAAGTGTATTTCCCCTTCAAACTTTTAACAGGGAGTTATGAACAGTGTTTTTATGGTTTGTTGTTTGTTTTTTTAAGACAAAGAAATACAAGTCTCATTCATAAACTAACGAAGTGTGTAAACCATTGCAAAATGCAACGAATGCAGCAGTTCAATATGCACTCCAGAGATTACAGTGGCAAAGGAATGGTGCACGAAGTTTCTGTTTCCTTCCTGAAAGTAGGTTTAAGATTACAAATTAATCTCAAAAGAGATTCGACTATCTCGAAGAGTTAATGAGTATCTTAAAACTGCCTGTTTCTCTTAATTGTCCAAAGGCCAGTTGATCCTGCAGTGTATAAAATACCAATGCATGAAGATGAGAAGCACAGCTGAGACAACCAGCAAACAAACAGCAGGCAGGAACCAAGTGCTGTGTCTGCTGGGAAAGATGCCAAAAGGTGTTTCCACTTTCATTCGTCTTTTTGTGCTCTTACTTAGTTTCTCCACTATTTGTCTGGGAGTTCTTTGCATTTCCACAAGTTCCTCCACATGCAGATGTGGAAATAATGAGCTGGTGTTTTATTGCCTATTGGCTTTGGGGTTCTTTCTTCTTGTGACTGGCATTTTCTGGAGCACTTTCCATGAAGTCTTGAAATACAGGGGCCTCAGCAGCATCTTCATTCGAAATCCCAGCCATAGAGAGCTATGTGTCAGCACCATAGACAGGTACGTGTTGCAGACTGCTGATGATGAATTGGGAGGGAGGGATGCTGTTTTGTAAACATACTGAGAAAGAGAAAACACAAGGTTTTTACAAAATAAAAGATATGTAGCCATTTTATTCTATTTCTGTAGAGAAAACTGTAGTCTGAAATGTGATTTGCTAGAGCAAGCAGCAATGTGCAAACAGCAATTTGTGCAAAAAATACGTTAAGTAAGGTATACTCCATGAAACATGGGAGGTTGCACAGCATGGTCCAAAGGCATGCATGGAGGAAGCAGGTGCAGCTACACTGACTTCATGGAGCTCCTGCAGGAGCATCATTAGTTCTATCTCAACAGACAATTCTAGATGTGCTGCTGTACTCATATTACCTGCTACCAATGAGGTCGGCAGGGAGCCTCAGCTCCCAATATGGTCCCTGCTGAAGTTTTCTTGTGTAATTGTCCCCACTACTTCTGAGCAAAGTCTCATGCTTTGAGAGAGTTTCTTAAACTGATTGGCACTAGCCCTGACAAAAGTCTTTAACAGGGTCACTGGATACAAATTACTTTTCCTGGACTGTTGTGGAAACCGCACCAGAAACACTGACAATGGGTGCTCTAAAAGCACTATAAAAACAACATTCAGCAAATTTTGTTTAGATAAGCAGAAACATGCAAAATGTATTTTAAAACTGTGGAAAACAATTATTATTGTAATAATAAATAACTCGCTAATTTAACCTACTTCAGACAGTGATTTCTTTCTTCTTCCAAACCAAACTTCTCTCAGGCACTTGTTGAAATACTCAGAAGCATGAGTGTTTGTATGCCATGAGTGGGAACTCTCATGGGGAAGGCTTGTCTTTTTAGAATGCTGTGTTTTAATATAACATTTTGCAGAAATACACCGGTAATAATCCCAGCTATGCCAGCTGTTTTATATGAACATATTCCATTGATGTAAACCTACTTAGGTTTCCATTTACAGTTTAAGCTTCATCCACACTTTGGAAACATAACAGACAATGCATTTAACCACACTCTTTGAGATAAATCACATTTCACCATGATGTGTTTCTTTTTGGTTTGCCTTTTTTTAGGCCTGACTTCTATCCCCCCTCCTACGAAGACAGCACAGATCCTGAAAAACAGACCTTCCCACTCCCAGTTGCCTCCACACTAAAACAGCAAGAAGTCATCAATATCCCTCCACCTCCGTATAGCGAAAGCAGCACAGAGTTCATCAGTGAAACTAACGAGCAGGAACAGCCACCACCATATGAAATATCTGTGCAGCGGCTATGGCAGCAGCAAACAGCTGACCAAAACTCAAACCCCAGAGCAGAGTCGAATTCTCATCCATCCACACAAGAAAACAGTTACCAACAGGATACAGACTGCCAGGGGACCTCAGAAAGAGCAGTGCCTATCAGAACATCTGAGACAGGCAGGGGGAAAAATCCTGTATCTGTGAAGCAGGGAAAATTGGCAGAAGACACGTGTCAGTGATCCCCAATAGTACACCACTTACCAGGAGAAGCATTGGCCATTTGTGTGTTTGAATGGAGTTAGAGGGGATATTATAAAGGTGCTCAGTATTTCAAAGCAGAGTGAATCTCATAGAGATAGAAACGATTGGGCTGTATCTTATAAAAGCCAACATCACGGGCAATTAGAGTTTCTTATGCTGTAAGATAAATGAAGCATCATGCTGTTATCAGTCTTAATGTCTTGCGCCTCATAAGGAGTTCTGGCTGAAAGTCCTCATTTGTGGTTTTGTAACATTAGCTGACTTGGGAAACCTATTAACTCAGCCCTTGTTTGGAATCTGTAAATTATTTGTTGTAACTGATTATTGTTGTATCATATGCCTATCAAGTTACCTGTTTTATTCTGGTGCACTAATAGCTGGTATTTTACTACTGAATTAATGAATAAATTTTGTATTTAAAGCAAATGCCTTGTATTTGCTTATATGATACAAGGTGTCCATGATTCAGGATAAGCACACAATACAATGCACTTAATACACTTCTTAGCTGCTAAACAGACATCTCTGGTTTTGCCCACAACTCCTCAGAGGGAACAAGCAATTGCAGGAGGAAAAACCTTCTCTGACTCCTCTGAGCTGTCTCCAAAAGCAGTTGCTTCCCCTCCAGCTTACTTGTGACTGTGTAAACTAAAAAAGGGGTCCTGTATCCTGTTTCTGACACAAGTGGCCTTGTGGTTAGGGAACAAGTACCAGAAAGAGGACAGGCTTGGACTCATCCTTCCTCTGTTACATGTTTCCTTCCATCCACAAAATCACTGAGGCAAATTTGCATCCAGGTCCCTGTCATCTATAATTCCAGGTGACAAGAAAAATTTCACGGAGGTTCACTCAAATTTGGACCTGCAACACTGAATATAGGTGGAGTTTTGCTTTTTCATAGAATCATAGAATGGTTTGGGTTGAAAGGGACATTTAAAGGTCATCTAGTCCAACCCCCCCTGTGAAGTGCAGGGACATATTCAACTAGATCAGGTTGCTCAGAGGCCTGTCCCCAGCCTGACCTTGAATGTTTCCAGGGATGGGGCATCTACCACCTCTCTGGGCAATCTGTTCCTGTTTTTTGTTGCAGAACCAGTGATACAGAAAAGTTATCACACTTTTCAGATGCCCACATACCCCAAGACAACGACTTGAGCATTATGGCTGCATATACATTAGAAATGCAAGCCATGATGGTGATGGTAACAATGGCTAAGGCCAGGGAAGTGACAATCACGTCAGATTTTTCTTCCAAAGAATTTCACCCTTTATAGGAAGGACCTATAAACGTTCAGTTGGTGTAAGGAGAAAGGAAAGCAGGATAAAATGGGGTGCAGAAACTACAAAGGAAAATCAATTCAAGACAAGTTGAGGAAGAGAAATGTATTATAACAATCACAGGCTGAAAAAGAGTCCCTGAAAAAGATAGAGGCTGATAGAAGATTCTATGAGCATATAAAGATTTTTCAAAGTGACTGAGAAGTGGCAAAGCACTGAGGAGAACAGTAAAAGTCAGAGGAACACTGCACATTATTGCCAAACCAACTGAAGTGAGGATCTCCTATCCCAAGTGACCTTCTCAATGGTCTTGCCTCTGAGCACTACCATACCTGCACCCTGAAATCCCTTGCTTCTTTACTTCAGGGCCACAGATCCTGAAGGCTGTGCGCACTGCACAAGTATTAGTGCAGGGATAAATCACAGAGGATGAGGCTGATTAACCAGGAGATCTCCCACGGCAAAATGCTTGTCCTGTGCACATTCAAATTTTTTTTTTTTTTTTCTTTTCCCCTGTAGAAATCTAACTTTTCCACCAGGTAACTTTTAAAGCAAGACCACGAGTGGGAAATGACTGAGGCTACAGGTAGCTCTGAGAGCAAGTACTGCAGCAGTACTGTTGAAGGTTGCTCTTGGAGCAGTTTGCTATAGGAAATGACATTCAGATTCTTTCCACATAGTTTATGGACAATCAGTAAGAGCTAATCTCTTCCTTTCCCCCAATCCCCAATGCAGTGCCCCCTTTTAGCTCCAGCCTTCTGCAGATGTGAGGTCTCTCTCAATGGATCCAGAAATGTGAAACCAAAGATGATTGTATCTTCATCCTGCAATATGGAAGAAAGTATCTGAGACATGAAGGTTACTGAGATAAGGAGAAAATTAAGGTTAATACCTAATGTTTTATTTGATTTGATACAATCTGGTTTTCCGTTTGTCTTTTCAGCTAATGAACTATTTGGCTATGAGCTTGATGGAAAATGGTGTGGGCAATTAGGTCAAAAATGTCAACAATTTTAAAGCAGCAAAAGCTGGTTTGCTTTTGATCAAACTTACTAGCATGAAGTAATCTTTGCCAAGTATAGCAGCTGGAAGCTTTAGACTAAAGGAATTTTCTTTGGACTGGAGGATATGAACAGGTCAAACAGAGGCTTCAGAACAGAGCAGATTTTTTCAGTGCATTGACAACAACTTCCTGACACTGGTGATTGAGGAGCCAACAGCATGTGGCTGTCCTGATACTTACAATACCAGAAGGAATGAGTGGGCATGTGAAGGCCTTTGCTGCAGTGATCATGAGATGGTAGAGTTCAGGATCTTGAGAGGAGGGAGAAGGGCAAAAAGTGGGACCAAAGTTAGCAGAGCAGACTTTAATCTCATCAAAATTCTGCTTGGAAGAATCTGACAGGTTATGGCCCTGGAGAAAAGATGAGTCCAGGACAGCTGTTTGATTTTCAAGGATGACCTCCTCCAAGCTCAGGAATGGTTCATCCTGATACACAGAAATCAAACACAGGCAGCAGGAGGCCTGCATGCATGACCAGGGAGCTCCTGACTAAACTCAGCTATGATCAGGAAGTGTATGATAAGTGGAAGCAGGGACAGGTGACCCAGGAGGAATATAGAGACATTGTCCATTTATGCAAGGGTGAGATTAGGAAAGTCAAAGCCCACCTGAAGTTGAATCTGGTGAGGAATGTGAAGAGCAACATGTAAAGTTTCAGTAGGTACATTGGTGAAAGAGGACATGGAAAAGGCTGAGGTGCTCAATGCTTTCTTTGCCTCCATCTTTACTGGTAAAACCAGCCTTCAAGAACCCCAGGCCCTCGAGACCAGAGGAAAAGTCTGGAGCAAGGGGGACTTACCCCAAGTGGAGCAGGATGAGGTTAGGGAGCACTTAAACAAACTGGACATACACAAGTCCATCAAATGACTTGGGATGCATGCACAGTGCTGAAGAAGCTGGGCCATGCCATTGCAAGGCCACCCTCCATGATCTTTAAAAGACTCTGGTGACCGGGAGGGGTTCCTGAGAACTGAAAGAGGGCAAATGCCACTCCTGTCTTTAAGAGAAGAAGGAGGATCTGGGGTGTTACAGGCTGGTCAGCCTCATCTCAGTCCCTGGGGAGGAGATGGAGCAACTAATCCCAGAAACCCTTGCCAAACCCATGAAGGACAAGAAGATGGCTGGGAGTAGTCAGGGAAAATGATGCCTAACCAACTTGATGATGTTCTACTATGACATGACTGGCTCGGTGGTTGAGGAGAGAGTAGTGGATGTCATTTGCCACGACTTTAGTAAGGCTTTTGACACCATCTACCATAACATCCTCATAGACAGGCTGACAAAATATGGTTTAGGTAAGCGGACAGTGAGGTGGACTGAAAAGTGGCTGAACAGCCGGGCCCAGAGGGTTGTGGTCAGTGCCACAAAGTCCAGTCACCACCAGTGTGCCCCAGGGGTCAATAATCAAGCCAATACTCCTTAACATCTTCTTTAACGATCTGGATGATGGGCCGGGTAAGTGCACCCTCAGCAGTTTTGCAGATGATCCAACACTGGAAAGAGAAGCTGATGCACCAGATGGTTTTGCTGACATTCAGAGGGACCTGCACGGGCTGGAGAGATGGGCAGACAGGAACCTCATGAAGTTTAGCAAAGGGAAATGCAAAGTCCTGCCCTTGGGGAGGACTAAACCCAGGCACCAATACCTTCTGGGGCCAGTGGGCTGGAAAGCAGCTCCACAGAGGACCTGGGGGTCACATGCTGGACAACAAGTTGACCACTCGCCAGCAACTCACCTGCACAGCAAAGACGGACAGTGGCATCCTGGGCTGCCTTAGGAAAAGCATCACCAGCAGGTGGAGGGAAGTGATCTTTTCCCTCTGCTCAGCACTTCTGAGATGCACTTGGAGTGCTGGGTCCAGGCCTGTGTTTCCCAGTACAAAAGAGACATGGACGTACTGGAGTACCTCCAGCAAAGGGCCACAAAGATCAAGGGACTGGAGCATTTGTCATATGACAAGAGCTTGAGATAGCTCGGAGTGTTTAGCCTGGAGAAGAGAAAGCTCAGGAGGGATCTTACTGATTTCTATAAATACCTGATGGGAGTGAAAGAAGAGGATGGAGCCAGGCTCTTCTCAGTGGTGCCCAGTGAAAGGACAAGAGGCAATGGGCACAAATGGAAACACATGAAATTCCAGCTGAACCCTCAAGAAAGTTGGGGGTTTTTTTACTATTGGAGTGGTCAAACACTTGAACAATTTGCCCAGCAAGCTTTTGGAGTCTCCACCCTTGGAGATAATCAAAACCCAACTGGACATGGCCCTGGGCAACCTCTTCTACCTGACCCTGCTCTGAACTGTGGGATGGACTAGGCGATTCTAGTCCCGGTGGACTAGATGGTCCCTTCCAACCTCAAGGATTCTGTGATCCCGTGGTTCAGATGAGTACTGCTGCCTTCCAAATTGTCTCTGAACACAATGTGCTTTTCCTCCTGCCACTATATCTCTTACAGAAGGGCACTTCTCCCTAGTAACCACTTAGCTGTGCTGGCAGGTGAATTTGCTGGTATTTTATGACTTAGCTGAAATCACTTGACACTGAAGAGCAGATGCTTGAAGCCTGTGTGGTAAAAAGCCACAACCATGCTCCCCCATGAGACTATATTTTATTGCTTCTAGTCACATTGGCACTACACTCTTCTACTGTTTTCAGTAATTCAGTCTCACCTACTGTGTCTTTGTAAACTGTTCAAGTAAGTTACCTCAGAGTCACAAATTCATACTGCTCCAAATTTGCCCTTATTTCCCCCTAGTGTAGACTATTATTTATCTTAGGTCATGAAAGCAGTTATTACAAAACACTGTCATTAAACAGATGAGATTACAGTCAGTTTTCATTAATACTGAACACTATTAAAATATTCTTAGACTATGTTCCCTTCCCACCTTTAATTCCTTTTTCTCTCTTTCCCTCTCGAATCCATTGTTGTGTTATTAGTATTCTTTTATCACATCTCTCTCTTTCCATCTGAATCCCGCAATTTGTCTTCTCCTTATCGTCTCTGCCACCTGCTGCCTCTTTCTCTGCTCCTGGGGCCCACCAAGCCCTGTCTTGGTCTGCGCTCTGCTAATGTACCTTGAAATTGTTCTCTGTCTTAGTGGTCTCTCTGAATTCCTCTTTCTCCTTTTCCTCCAGTGTGCTGGGATTATATCTTTGTATTGCTGGATACAGTAAAACCTGAGGTTTTGGGAAACAGAATTACTATCCAAGTAAATATTAGTGCACAGCTGAACAACATGGGAATCTTGCAATTTCCAGACTTGATAAAACTGCTAATCCAACAATAGCCACAGAAGGGTCTGGGTCTCTGTCATAGTGCCTAGCCACTGTGATAAGACAAACAGTATTAATAATAGTTTTCCCTCTGCTAGACGTATGGTCCATTTTTAGAAGCCTTGCATCTTTGTGTAAGTTCATATATGTTGCTCTTTTCCAAGCATTCATCTCTCATGTTAATAAGGAAAAGACCTCAGAAAAAGGAGTACCCTTTATGAGACTACAGCTACAGTCCTTCCCCAAACACATCAGATATAAAGATATACACTGTACTTCAGCCTGCCAAAGTTTCATTCATCTTCTTGCAGAGAAAAGCAATTAACTGGTGGAAAATACCAGTTGTTACATTGTATCAATCTCACCAGTCATCAAAAATAAGGGATGATGAGTGGATTTGAGGTTAGGCTAGTTCTGGAAGTCTGCTGTTTGACAGCTGTTCAAAACCACACAAAAACAGCCCTTTTCTCCATTTCACTACACAGGCACAACTATTGTTTCTGAAGCCCAGGACAAAGTCTCAGTACTGAGATTTTAAAATACATCCTTTGTTCACGAAGACTGCCTTCATGAAAGCAGACTGCCATCTACTGCAGCTAGTGCTCTAGTGACCTTCTGATAAAAGCACAGTTATGCTTCTTCACAGTTCTGATTTGCTCCTCATGAGTCTTCCCACCACATCCTGAAAGACACCTGGATTCTCTACCTCTTACTTTTCAAAGTGCAAGTCCCAGAAGTTGCGCAAATGCGATACTTGGTACTATAACTAGCTAGTTCACCATGTGATCAAAAATTATTTCGTTGTTAGAGAACATGTAAGAGATTTTAGAAGTTCTTGGACTGCCTTTCAGAATGTTCTTTCATGCAGTCCAGTAATTTGAATTACGTCTCATAATCCAGAGTATGCTTGACCATGTGTGATGCATTAGTTGGGAGCTTAATATGCTGCACCTAGAGGAGTTTCCTCTATAACAAAAATGATTAGATAAACAAGTTTTCTGTAAAGATGAATATTCTTACATCTGAAAGTAGATGTCCAAACTGTGTGTGAATGCCATGGTTGTCTCCAAAAAAAATCTTTATAAAAAGAATTAACGCCTTAAAATCTCTTTCAGTTTATGGGAATACTTATTGATAAGGTAGAATACTACGTGAAAACATTAGTACCTCATTTGTTTAGAGTCAATTAAGTAGATAATGTAGTTGTATTAAAGGCAGTTTTATTAGGATGCTTGAAAGTGCAGTGTGTCTTGTCCACAATTATGTATTAAGACAGAAATACAGCATTACTCTTTATTGTGTACTAAGTGCCATAGCAACTTTTTGACAGAAGTGTTGAAAAAAATCAAAACAAATTTCTTTGCTGCAATATTATATCAATTGCACTAAAATCTGACAACCACAAAGAACTGAAACACACTGCAAAGAGGCAAGTTGCACAAAGCCACCTTGACAAATTGTACAAGTGAACACACTGTTCCCAAGGAAGCAAAGCTTTCAAACAAGTCACATGCATAGAGTGTTTGTGTTCTTCTTCAGAGCACAGTATTGTAGCTAGAACTGCAGTATCATTTCACAAGCAGAAAAATGCTGATGTCCATATCCCCAATATCCTTCTCGGATCTATGCCGGTATTTCTGTTCTCCCTTTGCACTCCCCAACTTTTTATTCCATGATCCACTGTTACAAAGAATCTAACAGAAACTGCATCCAGCTGGTGAATCAGACAAATATTTCTATTTAATTCATTAGCAGTTGTTTCCATTTCCTTTTCACTACATGCTTCACTTACCACTTTGTGGTAAGTGGAGCATGAGTATTCCAAAGACTTAAAAAACTTCCATAATAACTCCTTCATGAAAAACTGCTGAACTTGCAGTGATTACCTTTCAAACACAGTAAGCACCAATATCATCTCCTGACATGAGGAATATTGCAAAAGACAGCCAGATTCCACACCCGACATTGCTGGAAGGACACAATCAGCTTCCATAGCACAAATGCCTCCCTTTGGAGGAAAAAAACCAGAAAGAGCCAAAAAAATCAAGAAAATATAAAGGCACAAGTCACATTAATATGCTTTAAAAGCAGGGGTAAAAAAAAATATGGCATAACCCCTTCTTTGGGAGCATGTGCAGGTGTGTATACAACAGTGCTGCCAGCGTGCATCTGTGAGCAACCGGAGAGACAGGAGAGGAGGGGTGGTGTCAGGTCAGGAGACACACCCTTTGCAAAGCTTAGTATACAGCTCTTATGCCTCAGACATGCTCTGTATACTTCTTCGTAAACCAGCAAGAAGGTGACAAGGATCTCAGACAATATCCACCAAGCATGTCTTTGCTTTGCAACTCCTCCTGCTCCTCTCTCCCTAACTGAAATTTCCCCAACCTTTATCACAGCATTCAAAAACAAGCAGTTTTCCTTTTCTGTCACATTGCTGACAACATTTAAAGGTTAAGGCCTCCTTCTTTGGTTATATTGTTATCTGAAATTAAGTTATTGCAGGTAAAACAAAGAAGTCAATACACTATTGTATTTGGAGATCAATGCAAATTAATATGCTTAATATTATATTGAATTTTTCTTCCCACCCTACCTCTATCCCCAAGAAAACTTTTAAAATCATACAAGGCACAAATGGCTAACATGTTTCAGCAAGGTCCTGTCTCTTCCTTGCTGTTCCTCTTTTGGCCCTGGTTTAACAATCTTCCGTGGCTTCAGGTGATGACAGTGGGTCCCTTTCGCCCTGTCCTCTCATGAATCTGAGATATTTTCAGTGCGATTGCTATAAGAGGACTCAGGACAGCCTAAAGAGGAATAAATACATTGAATTACATAAAGCACAAATATCAATAGGCATCTTATATTTATAAATCCCCCTTTTAACTGTAATATTATATAATAATAGTAAATCACTTAATAATAATAAACACTGACACAGTTACAATGTCTATATTGTCATACTTGATATAAAGAAGTATCATGCTGAGCATATGTTTTGTGAACTGTTGCACTGAGTATACCTAAGCTACACAGAAAAGAGAAATCAGTAAATATACTATACTGATAATGTCTATGTGTGTGGAGCTCTTGTGAAATCTGCTGCACAAAACAACCTAGAAATCACAAAAGTAGAATTATTTCTATTCTGATGAGTGGAAGCCATGCAGATGAGACTTGGCGTCCTATACACACTTAAACTGTGAAGCTTAGGGTCAGAAGGTACTGTAACGATTAACTTAACAGGAAACACAGAAGTGTGTTTTGAGTAATATCACCTGTAATTGTATTAAATAGGATAAATTCCAACAAAAGCAGCATGAAGTCTCAAGTTTCAGGCTACAGACCTTATTAAATGGCCATATGTACGAAACTGCCCAAATGGGTGAGTGCATGTAACAACTATGATAGCACCATGTGAAAATCAAGTAAAATACAATTTTTCAAATGGCAAGTGAATCTTCTCTCAGTTAATTAAATGATATGCAAAGACAAACTGGCAGAACTAAGTTTTGTGTGAGAACAATCTTTTCAGAGAATCACATATTTGATTACCAAACTAGTAAGGTAATTTTCTGACCCTCAAAGATTATCCCCTGCTGCCTCATTCAAATAAACTACATTCTGGTTTTAAACCTGTCAGATTTAAAAATCAAATCAAACAAGCAGTAATTCTGCAGAGCTTAAATTTACAGATATCTTTTTAATAAGCTTAACATAATCAATATTTTGAATGTTTCAGCTACCTAACACTTTCTGACAGTATGGGGTGTTTGCTTTATTTATGCAAATGGTCAGACTGTTAAATCAAAAGAGTAAGGAGACAAACTAACTGTGCAAGCAGAGTCATGGAATAACACCATGAATGCCAATGGTGTCAAGCGAGTTTATGATCAAACTTAGTTATGCACAAGTGTGAGCAGTCTGCCATGCTATCTTACAAAAGGCTCCGTATTTGTAGATACCTATCTACTGAATAATCACTGAAGCAGAATACAAGTCCATTAAAGTCAAACATGCTCAGAGAAGATTAATATGTGGAGCACGAATTTGCATCTGTGGGCAAATGCTGCAAAAGTAAATATTAAAATGTGCCAATTTATAAGGTCTGGACCATATCACTCCTTCCCTCCAGCAACATGGATTAAGGAGAACTGAAAGAAGATGAAAGCATCTGAAGTCCCTCTGGCACTCCCCTAAACCTTTTCCTTATTTAATCTATAAAGCACAGGAAAATTTAAAAAGCAACCCTACTGACCAGCTTTACTTGACCCTGCTTTTTTACGCAACAAATGCACTCTGAATTAAAAAAAAAAACCAAAACCAAAAAACCCCCACTACACAATGCTTTGAACAAAACACAGAATCAAATGAGTTAATGTGACACCCATTTGCACAAACAATTTAGCTGCTGCTCTTTTGCCAAGTCGTTCCAATTACTACTAAATATTCTGCTTGTTACAATCATGGTTCTCAACAGAGCAAGTCCTATTTTAATTCTGTCCTCTCACATTTCAATTTAACTACACATTCTTCATCCTGCAGCCATAAAAAAACCAAAAGTGCATTCTCTTTGGAATGGCAAAAGCAGGGCAGAATAACAAGGAACTAGAGCTGTATATGCCTTTTAAAAAGTGCTTTATCTCTGCAATGAATAGTTTACATTTCAGTTGCAAAAGATAAATCCCAGCCAGCAATCATCTATAGTTAATAAGGCTCCAGAAAGACTTCTGTATCTTAAAGAGATCTTGATTTTAAAATGTTCTTCAAATGATTCTTTCTACTTAAGAAATTGTAAAACTTTACTATTGACATGCCAACTCAGAATGGCAATTGCAATCACTCTGTACATTAATAACATATTTATCTCTTGGAAAATGCTTGGGAGATATGGCATGTTATCCTTTAGATAAAATTTAAGAACTGAAAATTAACAGAACTGACTTAAATCAATCAGAATTTTGCTTTAGTAATAACAGATATAATTTATACCTCTAAAAAAATAACTGGTAGGAATTATTATTCATACCAGGAAATACATCAAACAAGCAGATATCTAATATAAGGCAAATAAAAATGAAAAGCCCTTTGCTTAGGAATAATCTGTACCAGAGCTGTCAGAGGTATCATGCCTGCTTGGCTCATGTAGCATTTTTCTCTCTGTGATCTTGCAAGAAAATTCCATAAAACTCCCTTTCTTCTAGTCAAGTTCTCAGACAAGATTTGCCCCATGATGCATCCAGTTTACCAAAGGCTCAGGCAGGGCTAAAATGTACCTGCTTGCAGGTTAAAAGCTCAGCATGTGTCTAGAGTTTGGCTTTAGAAAATATTTTTCTCAGAATAGGTGGACAAATGCCATCTATATGTCAAGAAACACCTTGTGAAAACCTACTATGTGTAGCACTCATGCTAAAACTTGCCAACTTTCATCAAAAAATTCATGCAGTTCTGATGCAAAACCATCTGACTAGACTTTGGCTGGAAAGTTTGTGAATCTTTCTCTTCAGTCTCTCCCCAAGCCTGCGCTGAATTTCAGTCTTGTTAGGAAAACCAAATGTAGGTGAGTTTTACACAGTCTAGGTATGGACATTTTCCATAGGTCTCAAAATCACTTTTCACAGTCCAATGTAAGTCTCAAAAACAAGTTGCCCCATCAGTCTCATCAGTGAAAAGAATTCTGCAGAATTTATCTGGGGAAAATAAAACAAAAAAAACCTCAGAGAATGGTAATGCCCTCGAACAGGATCCAAACATTTTAGTGAACACCAGGTAACTACAACTCTCTTTTACAGTTCTCAAACTTCTGGTCTGTCTTCTCTTACTGTACTGATCTGCATTTTGCATCCAGCATCATGTCCACCAGTGTTATTTTGGGCTCTCTCAGGTTTACATACACCCAAGTGAATGTACAGGGTAGAACACTAGGAACACAGGGTCAATTATTTGTACATATGTCAGTATTTGTAAAACATTAAACACTAAACCATTTGCTCCCTGTATTCTGCGATCTCAGGGAGAGGTAATGGAAGGCCACCTCAGTTAGCCAGTCTTAAAAGAATGTCCTACTGGGGACAAAGATCCACCATCAATCGGCTAAACCTTGTGTGACTGTTACATAGGCATTTAGGCACCTGAATTACTAAAAATCAAAATGACACTTCAGACAGTAATTACTTCAGAACAAACGTTCAGACCTTGCAACAGACTTCTAAGCAGAGCTGCCATAATACTACCTGTTCCAGAAGAATTCACTTCCCTGGAACAATTGTTAATGCCTCGAAATTAAAGAGACATAAACAAGAGGGTTAGTACAGCACGTAGTTGTCAAAGAAGGGCTATAGTGTTTTGGAGCTCTGTAAAGATAGATGATGTACCAAGTGTTTTCTACCTCTGCATCTTCCCTCTCTAAAAACTGCTGTCAAACCCCAAATTCTACTCTTCAGCTGCCTTTCTATCAGTTTTAGTATCAATTAAAGTAGTTTTCCAGTTCATAAAGGTAGCCTTGAGAAAAACATGCTTGCAGAATGCTTTGAAGTCACCAAAAGCTGTTAAGTGCTAGGTGGTGTTATTGTTATTGCATAAATTAAGATAAGCCTTGACATTTCAGGCATGGGCTAGAAATCCTTTTCTCTCATAACACTTAAATACATTCTCAGTCCTTCTCTTTTTATCATTTAAACATTACACAGAAGGTTGCTTAGAGAGGTCAGGGTAACTTAGACAGCTCTAAGTCCTGGAAAAAGGACACAGAGGAATTGAGAAATAACTCCTTCCTTTCTTAACTCTTCCTGCTCCGGTCATTTTCCCTTGCTTCATGTGACTGCTTAGAGCTGCTGTTAGCCCTTTGTAACCTGGGCAACAGAATCACTGCCACATGAACAAAGGGAAAGAAAAAGAAAGGCAGAAGAGAGGGGCAAATCCCCCAAAACATGTTTTGAAGGCCTTACCTACTAGTAGGAGCTTTTCCTTTGGCTATAATGTACTTTAAAGTCAAACCAATACACTTACAAAGCAACACTAAAGTGATGGAAGAGGCACAAAGAATGGACTCCAATAACTACAAAGCGAGATCAGCACTACGATCACACAGTCTGGCATCACAGCTGTACCTCCTGCAGGGCTTCTGCCATAAAAGGGCTCAACACACAGCTCAGCTCAGCGTGCCTGCTTGGGTCTTGCATTCCAAAAAACAGAAGTCTTGGTAAAAGTTTATGCTACAACCACCCATCCTAGAATATCTAAGCAATGTGTATAGCCTGGTTCATTGTGGAACAAACTGGACTGGCTCTGTAACATCCACAGCACTGGTAGCGTTCACTTTATTACCATGAAGCAGCACACACGGCATGGGAAAAAGGAAACTGACATCTCTACTCTTGTGCATGGTCTGTCTGCTAACTCAAACAAAACTACACTAAAGGTCAGGAGGCCACCTGTTCTGCCCCAAGCAATAGAGGAGAGCAGGCGTAAGGGGTGAAAAGACAGGAGGAAAATGTAAACTGAGTGGGGCATGGAAACATCTACGTTTGCAACAGATTAATTCTTTTCTAGTATATCCAAAGAGCTTTGAGTGAAGATTAGGTTTAATGAACTCGTTTCCTTGATTATGAAATATTTTATAATTACTGTCACATGAGTATTTTTCCTATGTTCCTTCCCAGTTCCAGCTGATTTAAAATTTGTTCACTGTATGACTTTGGGCAGAATCAGAAGCTAAATTACTTGAATAGCACAAACATGCTGTGTTACCTAAGAATGTGATCAAACAGATGGAAATCTCCATATCCTATGTCCCTTCAAAGAAAAT